TCTGCCACAGAGGAAAGCTTTTAGGTGGATGGGTTTTATCGGATTTTCATCAGCATTCAGCACACTTTTGAATGCCTGAATACGTCTGCAAGGAAGGCGCTGACGGGAACTTCATTCTTTCTCGTGGTTTTCTTCTGGTTTTCATTTCATAGCCCCTGAACTGGCGTCCATCTAATTGGCTGCGTGTAATTTCTCCCATTTTGTCATCTGCAAGAAAGTTGCAACCACTGTAGTTCCTCATACAGCTCAGCATTAATCTAGCTTCTCTTTGTAAAATATTTTAGGCTACAGTTTCTAGGGAGTGAGGGAAGGGGAAAGAATAATCAGTCAATTGGTTATTATACTCTGGTAAGCGTGTTTTAAAATATTGGGCTTCTTATTTATTTTTAAAATAGATATGGGGACTTATCATGTTGCCCAGGCTGGTCTCAAACTCCTAGGTTGAAGTGATCCTCCCATTTCAGCCATTCAAAGTGCTGGGATTACGAATGTGAGCTACCACGCTTAGCCTTCTTATTTTTCTAACCTGTAAAACTATATCATCTTTTACTCACTTCTTTTTAGTTTAATATAATTATCATGTATGGTGATTCTTTCTCTCTTTCCTGCATCAAGACAGGAATTATTAGGGAAGAGGCCTAAATTTCCTCTTTACAGCCTGAATCATTCAAAGAAAAAGTCTTCTAAAATGTAAATACTTGGTTACACTTTTCATGGCAAAAATAGAATAATTCAGATGATCCCTAAGTCCTCTGCAAAGACAAGACAGATGGTAAAGATGTGGGTGTTCAGTCTAGATACCCAAGTTTAGGGGAACAAGTAGGAATATTAGAGCCCTTCAGTTCAACAGCCTCAGGTTACAAAAAAGAAACTTAAGCCTCTAGAAGTGACTCACTTCTGAGTCACCACAGTCAGACAGAGGAGTCAATGGTTCAACTGGTTCTTGGGGGGTATAGTAAGGAAAAGCACTCAGACACCAAGGATTGAGTTCCTTCCTTGACGAGTGACTTTATTTTTGGACAACGAAAGACCCTGTAGTTCTTATAAGATAAGGAGAGGAAAAAAGTGGACCCAGGGCAGCCCATTGACCTCCTTTCAATCTCACTTATGAGGTCAAGGCCAGTGGTTTTACTTTGAAGTTTTGATCAATACACTCTTCCTTACCAGACATACTTTGTACCAATTACAGTAAATTAGAGTAAGTACGTAGAGTAAATTTAATTACTATAGCCTGCAAAAGCTCAGGTAACATTTATGTATACAACTTACTAATCCCTGTGCTCAGCTTGAAAAATCTTGAATGGAATTAAACATACAGTGGGACAAAGGGGCTTTGAGGGCAATGAAGATCGTTTCTTGGGATTATGAGGAATGACATTTGAAGAAAGAGATTAAGAGGTATATAGGGTCGAATATAGGCCACTGACCATTTGCCATGTCTCCTTTGACAGGATTCTAAAGTAAATTGTCTTCTTGTATGGTATTTCTAAATGGCCAGTGGGAACTCCCTCAAATGCCATCTTGAGACAGATTCTGGAGACCAAAATGGCACTATTGAAAACGGTCAGTTTTTGTCGATTTAACAGTAGCACTTTTACATGCAGCTCGTTTTTCTTTTTTCTCCTCACTTTGGTGAATGGGGGTGGTACCGATGGCCCTCAACTCTATACGTCATTTCTGCCAGCAGTAAGCACAGCTGAGACAGGACTGTCAGAAAAGTGGCACACAGCAGCTGTGTGACAGGAAGCTGAACTGCAAACACTCACGTGCGCCCAGTGAGCTGGGTCAGATTCAGTGTAGAAGGAATTTCCCATCATCCACTTCTTTTCTCTCCTAGTTGCCCTTGGCTTTGCCCTTGGAGTATACAGTAGAGCCATGCTCTAAAACCAAAGAAGTTTCAGAGGCAGGAGTGGCTACATAGGGGCAAGCATAATAGAGGAGAGCGTGATGGGAATAGGGGGAAGGGAGCGAGAAGCTGGCCTAAGGTGAGCGAGGAAACCGTCCGAAGATAGACAGCATATCCTAGTGCATTTCAAAGTTTTCCTGCTCTCTGTTGAGCTAGCTGTTCATGCCCACACACAACCTTATCTTAGAGTGAGAATCTCTGAAGGCATTTAATTAAAGGCCTCGCCCTGGGGGACCAATCCAGGAACTCCTTAGATTCTGAGCAACCCAGTATTATGCTCAAGTAGTTGGGCCCATTAAACAATGAAAGGAAGGGAGATTGAAGAAAGAGAGCCAGACCTCTGGTCAGATGTGAGCAGACTGATCAAATAAGGAAGGAATCTCAGGTCCTCCACTGTTCTGAAGCTGCCTATCATGGGTGTGATCCAGAAGGCTCTCAGAAGAGGGCTTGGGTGAAGCTAAACTGGGTTTTAGATAACTTGGGGAAGAGGGCACTTTTTCATCTTTGTGAACTTTTCCACTCTACACAATCTCAGACTTTGAATGAAACTGTGCTCTGGTAGATTTGGTTTTATAGAAAATGATACTACTGACCTCAGGAAAGGAAAAGATAAATAAAAGTTATTACTACTTCCTACCTTCTCTGCAGAGCGTTTGTGATTTGGCTTCTTCTAAAAGACAGCCCTGCCACAATGAATTGGTCATCATTGGCCAATAAAAGTAGATGTTTTTATTCTTGAAAGGCAATTTACCAGAGATCCAAAAATGCAAATTAAAACAACTGTGAGAAACCAAGAACAAGTTGGTAGATTTTTTTTTTTAATGGTAGCACTCATTGCAGAGGATGGAGGTATCAGAGTTGGCGACTAAAACGGGTTTGTCTTCCGTGTTCCCTGCTAACTAGGTGTGTGGCTTTTGCTAAGTTATTTATTCTCTCTAAGTCCAGTTTGTGCATCCATTAAATGAAGAAAATAATATATTAGAAAGAATATATTAGAAATATTAGAAAATAATATATAAGAAAAAAATATTCTGCATTGTTATGCAGAATTCACAAGATATGCATGTAAGTGCCTATCCTATTGTCTGGCACAGTGGGGTGTTATAAACTGTGGGTGATTGCTTGATGGATATCAAGGGCCTTACCCTTTGACACATTAATTAACTTCTGAGGATCTAGCCTACAGGGGAAAAAACATCTGAACAACTACAACAAATGATTCATGCAATAATATGCTCACCACAGTGTGATTGATGAATGAATCATTAGAAATGTGCTACATGTAGAAGTTTGTTTGGGGACTATTATACATTTTCAAGAATACAGGACTATCATAAACCAACATGGTTGGGACCTAGGGATGTTTTTCTGGGTAAGAGTTTTTTGGAATTGAACCATTACCCTGCTCTGTGACTGAGAACACTACTACGCATCTAACTCTGCCACCTGACTACCTTGGTGGAAAATTTAATTCAGGTAACTACTTAGATTAGGGCATTCCACTTGAGGGATCCTTACCTTTTTTGCATAAATGATGCGGGCTGCTGGAGCAAGCTCAGAAAGGCTGAGCCACAGCGTCGTGCAAAGGCAGCCATGCCGTGGACTTGAAAGGAAACATTTACAGGGAAAATGATAAGTCCATAGCTATGTGGATGAAGTTACCTGAAGGACATACTGCATAGTTATGGAGATCAGTATTGGAGCCTGAAGGATGAAAATAGTACCATGGGAAAATAGGAGGTGGTTGGCTATAGAGCTTACAGTAGAAATTCCAAATGGCTTTCCTAGTAGAACACCTATTCACAATTTATGAAATATTTCGGGCTTTCTTCTTACTCACCCATTAGAAGTGACCCCAGTACAGGGCTCAGTTGGGCACATTTCCTAATTTCCCACATTTCTTAACTTCCTTATTCTACTGATTCTCAGATAAACTTGGATCCATTTTCTTCACACTTATGCAAAGAATAATTTCCTTACTCTTCTTTTGGGTTCAATACATACTTAATATTCCGCAAGAGGAATCCTCTCATTCACTCCTCATTTATGTTACTGAAAATACTTTTA